TATTATGTATATATGTGCATATATAATATATATATATATATATATATATATATATATATATATATATATATATATATATATATATATATATATATATATATATATATATATATATATATATATATATATATATATATATATATATATATATATATATATATATATATATATATATATATATATATATATATATATATATATATATGTATGTATATTAGACATATACAGATAATTATATATATCATGTTAACACCAGCATAATAAATACGATATATATATATATATATATATATATATATATATATATGTGTGTGTGTGCGTGTGTGTGTGTGTGTGTGTGTGTGTAATTTTACATATATCATTTATATATTATACATGCGTGGTACTTATTGGAAAGTGATCAATATCAGTAACAGAGCTAACATATTTTAGTTGAATTCTACTGAGAATATATATATATATATATATATATATATATATATATATATATATATATAGATAGATAGATAGATAGATAGATAGATATAGATAGATATATATATCTGTATGCATGTATGTATGGGAACATATGCTGTGTCGCGATTTAGCAACTATTAAGTTTGACTCACAATCGATATACATATATATATATATATATATATATATATATATATATATGTGTGTGTGTGTGTGTGTTTGTGTGTGTGTGCATACATACATATTTCATACATTTCCGAAACACACATAAATATATACATGCTAACTATATATACAGATATATTATACATTTTCAGATATCTCCCTTCCTCTCTTCCCCATATATATATATATATATATATATATATATATATGTGTGTGTGTGTGTGTGTGTGTGTGTGTGTGTGTGTGCTTTAGAACATTGTACATGCATAATATGTAGGCGTGTCTGGGAGGCTAAATTATGATTGACATCGTAATTATGCTAAGTGAGTTACTATGTAATGGAAAAACTGATTTTTGACACAAAATGTAGTAATCACTCCTTTTCAGATATCACGAGAGTAAATATAAGTAAAAGATTATATCCTTTACTGTCACATCGCATTAGACTGTCCGTTTGACAAACATTTGTTACCATTTTCTTCAAAGTGAAAACAAAAAACAAACAAAGGAAAAGAAACATCAATATAAAAAAGCGTAAGAAAAAGAAACCACTCTTACGCATGCGTAGAGTTTAAATGGATGTTTCAAATTGGCCAGACGACTGACGATGAAGGCTGGTCAGCTAGCCCACTGATTTATCGCTCATCCATTCGATATTCCTCCACGTCTCTGTATTTATACACTTTTCGATTATTTTATGAATATTTATGTACTTATTTTCTCGTTGTGTAAGCGGACCGGTTATTTTTTGACTTGAAACACCCACATTCATTCAACAAGAGTTCGATATATTTTCCAACGTTCTCTCTTCTCTATCGATTCTTCTTCTTCATTTCAAACAAAACCATTAACTTCTCTTTCATTTCTTTCTGCCAAAACCCACGCGCCGAGCCATCCGGTATGAACAATTGGATTTAACAGTCATGCTATTTTACAGTTCGTTTCATTAATTCGTCTCCTCTTCCTGTTGGCGATCATGGATCTCCACAATTTCCTACTCTTTCTAGCGCTTAATAGATTTTGTATCTTTACTATCTCTCTTCAGCCTCTGTTCTTTTTGCCTCTTTTGGTAGGTTGTGCCTTGTTTGCTTTTGTTCCATTTGATTTCATCCTGTCTTCTGAGTATAAAAATTTCCAAACTCTCTTTTCCTATTATGTATTGAATAAACATTTAGAAATAAATTAGACTATTTTTAAATAAAAGATAATAGGCAACTCCTTCCTTATCTTCTGCTATATACCGTGTCCCTTCAGGACGTTAGCGATCATAGCTCTCCACAATTTCTTGTCCTTTGTAGCTCTTAATAAATTAACCTTGTTCCGCCATCCATTTACTCAAGCTCATTCTTCTCTATGTGCCGTGTAACTTCAAGATGTTGACGATTATGGCTCTCCACAAGTTCCTGTCCTATGTAGCTCTTAATAAATTTTGTCTTTTTGTTATCTCTCCTTAACCTTGTTCCGCCATCCATTTGCACAAGGTTATTCTTCACATTCTATGCGCCTTGTCCCTTCTGGCCTTAGGCGACCATAGCTCTCCACAATTTCCTGTTCGTTGTAGCTCTTTCTTTTTTTTAATTATATCTCTTAAAACTTGTTCCGCCATCAAATTACACAAGCTCCTTAGTTAGGTTATGTGTTGTTTTTCTTTATTCCTGTTGTCTTCATTCTGTCCTCTGAGTATCAAACTTTCCAATCCCACTTTCCTCATTATGTAATAAATAAACATTTAGAATTATAGAAGTGTTTTTAAGTTTAAACAATAGGCTCTTTTTCGAATGTTTACTTATTATATTAGATAACAATTTTTGTAGCTTTTATTAAATGTTTTCTTTTTCTTATCCCATCTGAACCCTGTGCTGCCATCCATTTACCCATGCTCGCTAGGTAGGTCATGTGTTTTTTCCACTGTCTCTCTACTAACCTTCAATATGTCCTGGGAGTATCAAATTTTACAAAGTCTCTTTCCATATTATGCGGCCTAGAAATTTCAACTGCCATTCTTTTGTTAATTTTAAGAGTCATTTTTTGTTTGCCTTTTCTCTAAAACTTCGTCGTTGCTCGCAGTTTAGACAATGGTATTCTCAGTATCCTTACAGAACGATATTTCTGTTGCTTCAAGTCTCTTCTTCATCTGTGAGCAGACTGACCAGCATTCACTGTCATATATTCAGATGCAACTGAATTATTCAATAATCTTAACGGCTTTCACCGTACACGAAGAAAGAACGCACTGCACACTTCCGGAGATCATTTTTGGCATGACGTCTCTGGGAGAGAGAACTGGACGTTACTCAGTCGGCAATGTATGTTTGACGAACAAGATACATAAACTATATATATATATATATATATATATATATATATATATATATATATATATATATATATATATATTAAAATTAAAAATATATTATTATAAGTAAAATATAACACTGGTCAACACGATTTTTGGTGTCAAGAAACAAAACGCGTTTTTAGCTAATTTGATGCTGCTGATCCCGAAAATGAATTTAGTATTTCATAGTTAGCTACTACCTTTGCTGATTGCAATATTTAGTTAATAACGGTCGTAAAAAGCTATCAGTTTTTAGGTAGGCCAAGAAATTTACGAGGACCACCTGAAATAAAATATTTTAGAAGACAAAGTTTTCTGGGTCAAAAGTTTTAAAATCAAAGTACCGAAGTTTTCAAATTTATCGTCAAAATGCAAAATAACTGTTAAACTTTATTAGTAATACACATTAGTAAACCTGATAATTAAGGTGACATAAAAAAAATAAAACCCTACAATCTTCTGTTTGATATTCATGAATTAATCCCGTCAATTTTATCCCTTCACTACGGAAGGAAACCAAACACCTTGAGAGGATTTTGTTTTCACAGTTGGAAAGAAACTCCCAACTAAAGACATCCCAATTTAATGCACCTATTCCGTTGTACATGATACTGCTGGAATATCAAAAGGGACTTAAATAACATTGAACATGACAGACAATCAAGAAAGATAATTTTTTTACCATAGTTCTTATGTTCACAAAGGTTTTATTTCTGCTGTTAGTTTAATAAATGATTTGATGAAAATATTTGTTGGTCTTGGTATATTCAATCGTGTTATTTTTAAAGACTTATGGTCTGATTGTTATTGCAAAAATAGTATTTCTCAATAAGCAGACCAATATTTGTTGGTTTAAATACGAATTGAGAGGCTTCTACGATTTTATTTTGAGAAATATTGCTATCGGTCAATAGCATATAAACACAGAAAACAAATGAAGAAAATGATTTTTTTTTCCACAAATGAGGCACTTCTGTTCAGCAAAGATGGTAGCTGACCAGGAAAATGTAAGGTCACTTTCAGATTCAACGGCCTCAAATTAGCTAAAAACAGATGTATTGTGTCTCGATAGCATTTCAAAATGTTTTTTGTTGACCAGCGTAATACATGCTTACTTCCCTGAAAATCGAGCGATAAATTATGGATGCTGTGCAACAAATTGAATGATAAATATTCTAAAATTTGTTCTCACTTCCGTAATTTTCTTTCTTTCTTTTTTTTTTTGCGGACCATTTTATTCATCCCGAAACCTAAGTTTGAAAAAGCCTTAAGCTATATATCCCTATGGCTCCATTAGGGCATGTAAGTCACTCTACCATGTCAAGGTACTTAAAATTGAAAAGATACCAATAGTCTTTATTAGTTCGAGATTTCTACTGCGATGTTGGGAAGGCATGTCTTCAGAGACACTGTCGTGAGGTCTTTTGAGAATTTTGGTATTTTAATTAGTTTATATCTGTGGCAGAACATACACTGTGTTTTGTTAATAATCAAATAATTGTTTTTTAAAGCAATAAATCACAGGAAGATAGGAGACCCATGTCCTGAAGAGACACGTCATATACATGGAAAAAGAGGTTGTATCAACAGACAGAAAAGAAGAAACAACGTAAGATAGCTAGATAGATTGATATGAATGAACGTAGATAGATAGGTATACACTAACAGGCATAGATAGATAGATAGATAGATAGATAGATAGATACATACATACATACATACATACATACATTTAGATGTAAATTTAGATAGATAGATAGATAGATAGATAGATGTAAATATACATAGAAAGATGAAAATATAGATAGATAGATAGATAGATGAATATGAATGGGCAGATAGATAGATATATATAGATATAAATGGACATATATATATATATATATATATATATATATATATATATATATATATATATATATATATATATATATATATATATATATATATATATATATATATAATGAAAACCAGAACACTTTAAAGGTACCATTACAATAATTTAATTCACCAAACTCCTTTTTTAAAAAACTCCGGATCATCAGGTAACATAATATAGATAGATAGATAGATAGATAGATAGATAGATAGATCTATTTGTCTAAATTTTTGATATTAGGTATTGTAAGTATTTACACTACTTATATCTTTCACATGACCCACACGATAAGTGCGGTGGTTGAGTAATCTAAATTGACTTGACCCAAAGTAGTTTGTGTGTTCAATACCTGGCCACAGCAGAGGGAACACAAAACAGTTGTTACTAAAGAATATTAACTGGACCTGAGATATTCATCAAAAATGCTCGACACGTTGAATTTGAACAATCTCCCCGATATGTCCGGTTCGAAATTCCTACGTATATCCACTGAAGAAGGCCGGGACTTATATCGTCCAAACGTCGTGAATATATCAGTAGAGCTGAGGACAACAGTCTGACCGATGTAAATAGATAGAAACCTTTATATATACAGTGTGGGATGGGTACAATTTGGCCATATTTTTTTATTTTCCTACATACACGTTAGAAATTTGGAAATGGCATGCTGTACTGCCTGACATTCCCGCCAGAAACTCCACTGCAAACATTTCAGAATTTTAGTTGACAGTGATGGCGACGTTATGCCTTTTATTCATCTTCCCACAGTGTATCAGACTCAACACGGAGGAATACATAATATCCCTTGAGGAGGTAGTGCTGCCCTAGATCAAGAGGGTGACTGATGGAAGACACTATGAGATTCAAAAGAACAGAATTATGCCAGTCAGACAATTTCGGTGAACATCTGACCACCTCACTCCCCAGATGTCAACCACGATTGCAGCTGATCGAGAAACCAACAAAAACTCTTTGTAACATCAAAGATGAACTGAAGGCAAGGGTTATGGTAGCATTCACCAACTTAAAGAAAGAGACTGAACAGAAGAGTTGCAGGAGATTCCGAAGTCATCTGGAGGCTGTCGTCGAAGTCAATGTCGATTTTATTGAATAAATTTACTCTTTAGTATTTCAAGATATTTTTGTGTAATTTTGGTAAATATATCTGTTAAAATGAAATATCAGTGTTATTTTATTTTTTTTTGTAATTTAGTCAAACATTATCTACCACACCCTATATATATATATATATATATATATATATATATATATATATATACCCTGAAGATACATTTAGGTGAAACCTAGGTAGGTTTCCCTGGCTCGTTAGGAATTATTTCAGTTATACATTCATATATATATATATATATATATATATATATATATATATATATATATATATATAATTATATAATTTCTATATATATTATGTATACGCGGTTTTTTTGGAAAACGCTTAACATATTTAGTTGTATGGATATGAGTTTGTAACACTGGATTTTACGCTTTTAGGATCATGATCTGATGAACGCAAAGCGTGAAACGCAGGGTTACAAACTCATTTCCATACAACTATATATATATATATATATATATATATAAAGAAAGAGAGAGAGCGACTGAAAGAAATTTGACTATGTCGGCTTCTATATTCTTGATTTTTCTATTCTCTACTCTTTGCTTTTCTTTCTTTTCCATTATACGACTATCTCTTTAATTTCCTCCTATGTATACTCCACAAAGCCTGATATGAACCCCCCCACACTTTATTTCTGCTATTTGTCGCCACCCGCAGAGTTTTCGATCAATAACTAATTAACATGAATGATCGAACTTAAAAATAGTATGACTCGTACGATTCGCAATCTGACCAAATGCTCAAGAAATATGAACGATCAACAATATGTCATTAGGAGTTATGGAAAATCAGTATAGTTGCCAACTGAACTTTAGGCCTTCCCCAGCTCCCCGACCGTTACTTCCCGTTGGACATGTTCTTGACCAGGCTCCATCACTTCTCGTCAGCTCATTGTATTTGTCGTCCATATTAATACTTTGCATATTAGTGTCAGTAATTATTACAGTGGTTACTGGCTATCGATTACGTTTCATGGAATCGAAAAAAATAAATAAACGAAGCCACAATACGTTTAGGGAAAAGCTAGGCACGGTGTTGGAAATTGTAGAAATGTCTTTCTGATCAGAAAATTCCAGTGGTTTTTCAGTTGTAAAAAAAAAAAAATAAAGAAAAAAAAAACAACTAAATACGAAACAAAAGAGACTAGTTTTGCTTGAGGAAGACGCCCATTGTTCCTGAGGGAGATTTTTTTTTCTTCCCCTAGCATTTGTTTATAGAGTATTTGAAAGCTTGCATACTGTGACGACTACTTATTCTAGAAGCAATATATCACCCCCCAGTCCCTGTCAATCGCCAGGCTTATTTATGGAACAACATATCAGCTAAAAGATTTCAAGTTTGAAATATGAATACTCACTCACCGAAAGCAGCAAAATATCAATTTTACTCGAAAGACATTTACTGTCACGAGGCTTCCATGTGTCTTTTTCCAACTGTGCGTTTTTCTTTCACACACATCTCCTGTTCCCAAGAGATGCTTTTAATGTGAACATTCTAAAACGTTCTAAGAATATCTTCTCGAAATTCAGAATTCACATGTTTTTTTAAACGCAAATGACGGTTGTCTTAATCAATAGAATGGATTGGGTTAGTTTGATGGACTTTATGACATATTAACCCTTTATAGTTTTAATACACATGAGTCTACAGGTAATCGTTAACCGAATTTATACTTTTATTATTTGAAATCTTATTTTCCGTGGACTCCCGTATTCAAGTAGACGCCCCGTTTATTATATACACTATAATTCTGACGGAGGTCTATCACTCTTTGATAAGATTTCTCGAGTAAAAATACTGTTTAAAATAATTTCCTCGAGTACAGAAACCCAATAAAAATAAAGTTTCAAAAAATACCGAATTAAAATAAAATCCATAAATTCTTTAGAAACTGCTTTGTTTACGTTTCCTTTATGAAACTGAGCAATTATGTCTTTTCAGAAAACCTGAACAAGTAATGTTTGCTTTAAAAGCAAATAGAACCTTGCTCAATTGTGAAGCTCTTCGAGTAGCCAAACGGCGGTTTCCCCTGCAAAGGGGTCGCAAGTGCGAATCCTGCTGGAAGTGGCAATTTCTTTAATATGTTTTCCTCAAATGTGAAGGTCGCTAGATAAAATAAAATACTGTTTAAAATAAACGCATCATCTAATAAAATACGGGTATCCACTTAATATAAAGTTATGAAGATATAAACAAAATCCATTAATTTTTAAAAATTGGCTCTATATAAACATTGGTTGATTTTCTACTATAGACACTAGGAGAACTCGAGTCGTTTTTATACTTGAGGCAATAGAGAATCATCTGTCATATTTCTAATTGAATTTATTAGCAAATACAGTTTCATGTTTTTTTCCTTGAGTCTACGGTCTGTAGGAGCCACGGTGGATTAACGCATTAAAAAACGGAAAGACAAGTTCGAATTATTATCTGATCCATTTACGTTCACTTACGTGCTAGAAAGATATGAATCCTCTTCTTCTCCCCCAGCTATGAATAAATAGGAGGACAGACTGGGTTTTATAGCCTTGGCTGGCAACCTGTGTAGGAGAAAGTAACTCTGAATTCAAAATTTTATGCAGTACATATTATACAGGAAAAAAATTCGAAGTTGGAGCTTTTAATTTAAGCGCTGATTTCAGCCTCGTTCTGGCAGCTCCTGCGACGGCGTAAACTGTAATTGCCTTGCCTTCCACCAGCGTCCTTGAAAGTGTGTGTGTGTGTATGTGGGGGTCCTGCTGAGTCTTGATCCTAACACAGATGAGTAGCATCAAATCCATGGTCACTGAAGACCAGCGGGAGGCACACACACACAAAAACACACACACACACACACACACACACATATATATATATATATATATATATATATATATATATATATATATATATATATATATATATATATGAGGTGTGTATATATATATATATATATATATATATATATATATTAGGTTAGTGCAAAAATAATGACGTAATAATGCCGCTTTTTGACGTATTTTTTCACGTCTAAAACGACATTCTTACGTCATTATTTTTGCACCAACCTAATATATATGAAGTGTATATATATATATATATATATATATATATATATATATATATGAAGTGTATATATATATATATATATATATATATATATATATGAAGTGTGTATATATATATATATATATATATATATATATATATATATATGTATGAAGTGTGTGTTTGTACTTGTTTCTATAGACAAACATTTGCCGTGTTTTGACTGAGACAAATATTGTTGCTTAGTTATACAGTCATATCTCGTTGAGACATCGGTTTAAACAAGTTGTTTAAACGACGTGACAGGCCTAGCAAGATACAATTATGGCTAATTATACAAACTGAATACCTCGATATAAAGAGGTGCCTCTATAATGAAGGGTGGTGAGAACTAGACAGAGTTGGGTTTGGGGTGAGTGCATTTTTGAATCGATATAGAAATATTTGTTGTATCTAAAGTTGAATCTATAGGTAAATATAGGTTACCTTTATACTTGAGGCTAATGGTGGCTTTTTATACTTAAGTCTATATACAACTATGAATCGATATTTTATTTGACTTTGGTTAATTTGATTTGATTTGTCTATTTAACGGCATATCAACTCTTTATGGTCCATTTAATGCCGAAATTTGATTTCTTTAGGGGCTTTGAAGTAATAAAAATATTATATATGTTATTCTTTTTTCACAATTGAATACATGGTAGATGATACTTAGCTCTCGTACATATACATGTTTCTGTGGACATAATTAGTATAGGCGGTGATATGTGTGTTTTATGTGGTAGTTTTTTTAAGTTCTTTTTTATACAGCTTGAAGTCTTCAAGAAATTGTAGGATATGGACATGGATTATTGTCATGAAAGAGTTGTTTCGTCTTGGTTGTTTGGTTGGTGAGTTGAATTTGTTTAACGGCATATCAACACCACTATGGGTTATTTGAAGCTGAAATGTAAATATTTTGAACGCAATTGTATGCCTTCAACTACAGATAAAATGTATTGTTGGTCATTTTGATTTAAATATGTATTGTTGGTTGGTTGTTTTTGTCTAGAGGCATGTCAACACCTCTATGGGTTATTTAATGGCGAAATGTAAATGTTTTGAATACGATTTTATGGCAATTACTAAATATATTTTAAACGCAATTGTATGCCTTCTACTACAGATAAACTATATTGTTGGTCATTGTTCTATAAAATGTATTGTTGCTAATTCTACTATGAAAGGTTCATTATGATTTAAAATATACTGTTAGTAATTTTATTATAAAGAAGTGTTGTTGGTACTTTTACTATAACGTTTTATCGTTAGTTATTTTTTAATAAAAATGTATTATAAAAACGTATTTTTGTATTTTCATAGTACTTTCTTTTTGTTCGGGGATTAAATATTAACAGGTTTTACTACCCCTGGCCAGGGTTGATCTCGGAACAACAGCAATTAAAAGGTGGTTCCACGCTCCTCAAAACCTCCACTCTCCAGATTAGTGGTCTGGCTGACTGATGTAGTTTACCATTATAGACGGAACTATGCAAGCTTTAGTCGTGTTGGTAGTTGGACCTATAGATAAATACTAGCAGCATGGCCCGGTGTTGCCCGGGCTTGATTCAAAAATCGTACGACTCATACAGCAATCGCTATCACTTAAATCACTTAAATCATTTTTGCCCTTCTTTGCCTTTAAAGGAGTGCCCTTTTCCGTGCTGATGTTGCTACATGCCTTACTTCTTTCCTATCTCACACTGCGAATTTTTTCTAAGCTCTATACTGAACATTAAAAAGGACTTGTAACTGGAAAAACCGAATGAAAAAAGAATGTTAATAACAAATCCTTTTTCACACCCAACCCAGTCTTGCGGAATCAGAATCAACGTTGAGTTTAAGCAAGCAAATGAGCCCATTGGAGTAAAGTGCCATGCAGATTTAAATTTTTTCCACTCGTGACGATTGCAGCTATCGATTTTATTTTGCATGCTAGCATGCTAGTTAACATTCGTGTCAGTCAGCTGTTGGCTCTCACGCTGGCCAGTAGAATCTTCCTGCCTATTCATGGCAGCCAGCTCTTGGCTCTCACTCTGGCCAGTACAAAATCGCCGCAAACTACATGAAAACTGCTGTAGAAGCATGAAAAAATCGATTATTTCCACTATCGATGGGAGTTGGGAAATGCAATGTCGGTCTTGGCCTTTTCGCTAACTTGGAGCATGTGCATGTAAATTTTGGAGGAAATCCATGGGAAATTGCGGCCATGCACACACACACACACACACACACACACACACACACACACACACACACACACACACACACACACACATCCTGCCTTTTATAGAAAGAAATGAATCAAGTTAGTACTTCGATCTAAAGAATGCAACAGGAAAGCAAACGCAACTTACTTACAAGTAAAGTATTTGAGAGCGTTGCTATCGAATCTTACTAAAATGTAAAGCTGCGCCCCGGATTTATTTTTCAAATATCCCCTTTCCTATAAAAAATAAATTCAACAACAATTACAACATTTACACGCTATCGTATATTATACATTAAATTATTTCAGACCTCGAACTGCTATCAATAACGATGAATAGATGTCCCCTAAGAGAGGCCCCACATTTTATGCGACTATTGGGCCTTACACTGGCTCCAGACCTCAAATGCAACTCGTAAATTCGATACATCGCTCAAGATGCAGGAAACCTGGTCATTTTCCTGTGCCGTCAAAAATATGCTAGCCTATTCATTTCACAGGCTGTACCTATAAGTCTATTTGGAATTAAATGTGTGAATGAGAAAAAAATCCTTTCTGCTTAATATTTTTCTTTTTTTTCATAATCTTTCACACTCAGTAACCATTTACCTTGCTTACGGGGAAAAGACTTTTTCTTTTCAAATCGATGAATGTTCAAAAATAAGGTACAGACACATATCAATCAATTATGTGTGAAAACATTGTTCTTAATTTACTAGCGCAGGACGGAAATTTTTCGACGAAGTCGCCATCTTGATAAACAGAACAAGAACATACATAGCCTCTTTGAAAACATGGCGTCAAGCGAGTAAAAGCAGCCATGCACCTATCGAACAAAGAGTCATAGACGAGGAACCGATCCCAGAATAAATATAATTTTAGGTGCTTAAACACATGATAATCTGAAGTTTCAAAGTGAGAATGATGCTTTGTTAATGGTAGTAAATTCTACCAAACTTACAGCTGTAGACACTGGATGCGTTAGTTTAAACTGATTGATAGTTCCTCGATAAAACATTTGGAGTTACCAGAAGTGTACAATTGACGTAAAACCCGACATTCTATCAGAAAGTTAAAAATGAAAAAAAAAAAAAAAGAAAAGAAAAGAAGCAAACTGTAATAGTCTGACGGTATCATATGGCAAACTTATCCAATTCATATATACAAGATGGTCAGCTTATTTTTTTTTTTTTTCTGATTTTCGTCAGAATACCGATTTAATGAGCTAACAGAATTTTCTCCCGTATCGCTGTTCCTCCATTTGCGTCTTTGGGGGAAAAAAAAAAGAAGTGAATGTCATTTTACATTTATGTATTTATTTATGACAGAAAACCACAATTGGCAATGGCCTTTCACTCTATATTGTAATCTGTGTCTATCTGTCTCGTTCAATATTGTCTCTCTCTCTCTCTGTATATATATATATATATATATATATATATATATATATATATATAAATTCGCTTGAGGATGTTTTGAAACATGGTTAGAACTGTGTAGCGAAAAAAACATATTTTAAATCAATTAATTTATAATATATATATATATATATATATATATATATATATATATATGGGGGGCACGGTGGTTAGCGTCTTATATCGAGGAAGCAAAGAGCCGAGTTCGAATCCATTACATTCACTTATGTGCTAATACCCTTGAGAAAGGTATGAATGCTCTTCTTCTCCTTCCAGCTATGGGTAAATAGAAGGACAGAGTGAGTTCTATAGCATTGGATGGCAACTGGTCTAGGAGAAGGAGAACTCTGAATTCAAAACCTGCGGTGGGTCGCTTGGGGACCTCGTGGTACTTAGTGCACCAGGTCTCTGAATTCGGCCCTTCAAAAAGTGTGGTGGGTTCTGCACAAAACTTTCAAAATAATCGAATCTCATGTGCTAGTGTCGGCTGTCGATTCCTAGGATCGGATCCATTTGAATTTCATGAGTCGAATTCAGTATATATATATATATATATATATATATATATATATATATATATATATATATATATATATTTGTCATGTTGAATTGATAATGTTAATTATATTTTATGAATATGTCCTGAAGATGGTTTATTAGACCGAAACGTCCGACGTTGACATATTAACATTAAAACAGCATAATTGTATATAATGATTTTTGTTTGTTTTTTTCCGTATATTTTTTCATATTCATATATATATATATATATATATATATATATATATATATATGTGTGTGTGTGTGTGTGTGTGTGTGTGTGTGTGTGTGTGTGTGTGTGTGTGTCTGTGTGTGTGTGTGTGTCTGCGTGCGTACGCGTACGTATATTTGTCTCTGCGTGTATATATACCTGTGTGTGTACAAGGAAGGAGACAGTTTGCGTCTGTGTTTATATATACATACAAAGTTGTATAAAATTAAATAAAAAGCGAATATTATATATAAAGGATGCGATGAATAAATTGACGTTTATGTGACGCCAAAATGATCATAACGCTTGCATCACATTTTAACAGATATATTTACCGAAATGCCACAAATGGCATGTTGAGATACTGACGAGTAAATGTATTCAATAAAATCGTCACTAGCTTCAACCACGCCCTCCAGACGACATTGGAATCTCCTGTAGCTTTTCTGGACGATCTCCTTGTTTAAGTTGGTGAATGCTGTCATACTCCTTGCCGTCAGTTCATCTTTGGTGCTGCAAAGAATTCTATTGTTTTTTTCGCTCAACTGCACCCCACAGATAATAACCAAAGGGATTTTAGTTGCCAGATATAAGGGATGACATAGTCGCAGAAACTCTCTGACAGGCATGACAGTGTTCTGCTTGTCTGATATTGTGCATAGTCCTGTTGCCAGACATAGAGTCTTCCATCAGCCACCCTCTGAACCTAAGGGAGCCCTACTTCTTCAAGGCACTTGATTTAGCCCTTGGTGTTGAGACAGGGGCCCTGTTGGAAGATGAATGGAAGTAAAACGATCACTCTAAACACCTTCATCTAAATCTTCCAGAATCCTATGCACTGTCCTCAGATTAATACCCAAACACACGGAAATGTTCGCATTGAAGTTTCCGGCGTGAATGCCAAGCAGTAGATAATAATGTTTCCAAATTTCTGGCGAAGAGAACTGCGTCATCTTCTTCTTACAGACGGTGTTTAATTGACCCTACCATACTGTGCAGTCGGCAAAATAAAAGAACAAATCAAACAACACACATACGCGAAATTAAAAGTATAATATGGCAACAATTTACCCATCGTATAATATAGATTGATAGACAGACTGAGAAAGAAATAAACAATAAAAAAAAAGAAACAGAGTGATTTAGATGAAATATTAGAAAGAAAGAAAGAACGATTCAGATAGGTAGATTTGAATAGACCGAGATAGATAGATAGATAGCCTGAGAAGGAAAGAAAGCAATGAAGACTGATATAGAAATAAAGAGATTCAGATAGATAGATATGAACAGACTGAGATAGATAGGTAGATGGATAGACTAAGAGGAAAAGAAAGCAATAAATAAAGAAAGAGTAAGCTTTAGATAAACACTTAGAAAGAAAGAAATATTTAGATAGACTGTAATAAATATAAGCAGACTTAGATAGACAGTAACAGACTTAGATAGTAACTGCGAAAGACAGAGAGAGGGAATGAGAAAGAGATATATAGATAGATAGATACATAGATAGACAGATTATAGATAGATAGATACATAGATAGATAGAAAGAAATAGATAGAAACAAATAGAAGGCGAGAGAGTAAAAGAGGAGAGAGATAGCGGTAGATCATTACAATAATGATATTTACTAATCAAAATTGCGCATCGTCAATACCAATAATTTCATACCGCCATTGAATTGCAAATGCTCAGGGCTAAAAATGCCATGAATATTTTGTTATACATTTCCATTTCGTTCCAGAAATGAAACTAACCATTCCATTCCCCATGCAAATATATATTTCAGTATGGTACCGGTAGATTCCAGGGAATTAGTTGACGCAGAATAGACGTTTAATGATCTGACCGATTAATTACAACATCTGGGAGAAGTCAATACCTTCCAGTATTCATTGGAATCGAAATGTTGTTTTTCGACAATTGTTTATTCATTTTCCACCAACGGTAACGTTCTTGCGTGCCGACTGCGTAAGAAACAGCACTAGTAATGGCGACACAACATTTGAAGAGCAGTAAAACTGGCTCTAATTACACTGTGCTCACATCCATTGTTTGGTCTACGAAAACGTTCAGTAAGCAAAAAGTCTGAGTAATACAACATCATTATCAGCCACGGACATTTGCCCACAACATACTTATTTTGCTCCTCTCTCTCTCTCTCTCTCTCTCGCCCTCAATATATATATATATATATATATATATATATATATATATGTGTGTGTGTTGTTGTTTTTTGTAGACTCGATGAATTACTTAATTATATATATATATATATATATATATATATATATATATATGAAAAATGTCTCCGATTTAACCACTAGAAACAATATATATATATATATATATATATATATATATTGTCATCTACAGACAGGCTGTTTCTGTGTATCACAGCTCATCAGTGTGATTGCTTCAAGCCAGGATCGAAACCCGACTGATTTGGAATCATCCGGAGATTTTACCCTTGAGCTATCAGTACCTGGTTGAGAGGAAGGCTAATTTTTACGCATGAGTTCTTAGAATAACTACACCAATGACCAAGAGGACTCAAGTCAAGGAGGAGCTTTGCAGTATTAGTGATAGTAGTCATAGTTTACAAACCCACGCTTTCTTCATGAATGCTCGACCGGAATTAAATTTTAGAGGCTTTATATATATATATATATATATATATATATATATATATATATATATATATATATATATATAGAGAGAGAGAGAGAGAGAGAGAGAGATTCAAAAAATTTCGCTTGAAGATGGAACAGAGCTTGCTACTTTAATTCCATTTAATTCAAATAATTATATTGAAGTTTTCGGCTCTTGTTTTGAAACATGAAAACTCTAATGTAGCGATGGAATCATATTTTTAAATAAATAATATATATATATATATATATATATATATATATATATATATATATGTTTGAAACGGTACAAAAGCGTATTAAGGCGTTAAAATCTAGAAATTTTGTATTGTAGGCCATGATAAGTTTAAAATAAAAACACACAGCAGTCGACCGGTTTCGTCCCCTCTCGTCAGAACTGTTAACGGGGAATTATATATATATATATATATATATTATATATATATATATATATATATATATATATAAAACTATATAATAGACCGATTGATTAAATTTAAGGAATAAAAAGTCCCAAAACGATTATATTAGCAATAAGATTGTTGATATTTATTACACATTAGCCGTTTAGCTAAATTGGAGCACGGAGAGAATGATTTTAAAGTTGAAATTTTCAGACACGTCTGAATCTTTTTTCAACGAGACGAGGAATAAACAAAGAAGAGAGACTTACTCTTCGGAGGAATGTTGTTGTTGGCTAGAGGTATCCATAGTGAAATTGTATACTTTGAGAAAACCCAAATCAGAGTTTAATCCATCAAAGTGTGATTTTATTTTTAAAATAATTTCAACTCCTGCTTGTGTCTTTATTGACGACTGCGCAATGAAGTCACGCATCTGGAGTCATCAATGCCATGGAAGGCTTGGTTGATGTATTTACTCACATATACACAGACATGCGAGTATACAAACACACAACAATCAACCTAACTTCAATACTTAGCGCATCGATTAATTTTTAAAATTAAAATAACGATAAAGAAAATGAGAAAATCCGTAGTCAGTTACTGATACCTTCTGACAAGGGGAGAAAACGTTTATATTAAACATTCATCTACGAACCTCTGGAGTCGGATTGCTGAATATAGCATCAATCAGACAAGTAATTCTACATTTATATTAATCATTTATATATATATATATATATATATATATATATATATATATATATATATATATATATTAATGCATGTTTCATTAAATAATATATGCAAGTTTTGTTTATTTATTTTAAGCAAATTTCTTTCATATCGTCTGATCAGCTTAATAAAATTATCTTTGAGAGACGAAAGAAATTCATCATGTTGATACTTGTTTTTTAATAATATCTAGCTTTCGGCTTACATAAGCCATCATCAAAGATGACAAATACATTACAATAAATTGAAACAATACATGGACATGGCAACAATGATAGTCTGTTATTGT